AGTGTGGATATTTTAGAACTGGTATATACCAGACGATCGCCTCACCGAACTCACGGGATACGCACAGCCTTTAGATAAAGGTGGTACCTGAACGACCGAAATTTCGAAACCGAAATTTAGTCGAGTATATCTCAGCGTTAGTTATTTTTTTCTCATTTATAGATGACACTCATCTTGATAAACTTGGACAATAAAACAAAATTTCGTCCAAATCATTAGAGTCGTGTCCGAGAGAATCAGATACATATATGCGAGCATTGCGAATATGATCCTCGAAGGTAGCACTGAAATTGTAATCGAAATACTAAGGATGATTATTACACGAGCCGTTTAAATATTTTCCTCTACAGCCAACAATTTAATAGACCAACACGTAAAATTACAGCCGCAAAATAAAATAACAAACTGAATAAAAAATTAAGTGTTATAGAGCCTGTGGTATGGAGCAATCACCCAATCTGATGCGCTCTTTCAGTCTACTTTGATAAAATTCACACGTCCTCGAAATATTTTATATATAATAGATATCCAAATGATGTTTTCCTTCACCGCTGAGCACTTGGTCAATAGCACTCTCGCATTAAAAATTATGTACATACATTAAAAATAACTATGGGAAGCACAGAATTAATGTCTTATAAGAGACAAAGATATCTTTCGGTTGTTAATTAATTCAAACCTAAATTAAGGCCCACCGTGTTCTGCATTTGGCACGTGCAAATAAAGGTGAGACGAATAAAGTTCGTTGAAAATCGCCTTTATTACACTTCCTCGTTATAAATCTCTTCTCGCAATTATATCGGCCACTACGTTATGTATTCCCTTTTTTTTATAGTAGAGAGCAGCGATTTGTTACTAGTTATCATAATTCGTCTACTTCTAAGTGAAACTCAGATGAGAAGTGTTAATAAAACTTGATTTTTTAAAAGTATATAAAACACTACGCAATGTATATTAAATACACATCGATTAAGACATAAAATTTATTTTCAGTAGTTAATGACTACCAAAAAGGTAGACATAGAAAATTGCAATAAAGTAAAACTCAATTTTTTATTTCAAACTTGTTTGATTTAAATCAAATAATGATTGATTAAGTTAAATAGTGTCAATATTAGAAGAAATATAAGCGTAGTGAGACACCCGTTTGCTCGACCGAGAAAGAAGTAAGCTCGCGCAGAATATCAGCGTTAAATAGCTGTGTTTTGTATGGTGAAGTACGAGAACCGGTAAGCCTTTTTACTGGTAAAGAAGCATTACTAAAGTGACAACGCATCCGAAATTTGGTCTTAATCAAGGATAAATGTTGATGTCCATGGGCCGGGGTATTCAGTTACCACCATGTGAACTATGTTCGTTTGCCATCATAAAATTAAAGTGAGTTACAGGCTATATACGTAGCACACCGGCGTTTTCACACTTATGAGAGGGTTTTAAGGCAAGAAATAGTCCGACGCGATGCGTGTTGGCTAACTTCACATGTATTCGTAATATATTTTTTTTTCTCAGACATGCAGTTTTCCTCACGATTTTTTCCTTCACCACCAAGCACGTGGCAAATTTCAAATATCTTTTTTATAGAAATAATTGTCACAATGACCTTTGTAAATAAATGACGCGTTAGTGCATCCGCTTTGGTTTTGAGGAGTAAGATTACTGTCAAAGACTCTGCTATACCTATGCGCATGTGAGATAGAGGTAATAAAACCACGAACAATTTGCAAATGGAAATTTATTTTAATTTAATTCAATTATTTTATGGTCGAGTTTTCTGAAATAAAATTATTTCTATACGTTTGAATACTGATTCTGAAAATGCACTTAACGGGAACCACAGGGTTTTTTACATGTTGTATATCGTATAACGACATAGGTAGTGATAGTTATAATTATTATAAATGTTAAAGAGTATGCAGTATACAGGTGTATGTTTGAATGTCAGATGTAAATTAATGTGAAGTTTAAATATTTCTGATGCCCTGGAGATTTACATAATTTTTTCTGAGTTTGATTCCCCTAAACCATTGTTTATCTTTGCAAACTTGCCAAAACAGCCTATCAAAATATCTACTATAAATTGACTAATAAGAGGAATATTTGCCATACTTGGCAACCTCGTCAGGTGGGTTGGCAACTGCAAATTTGTTATTGTATATATATTATTTAATTGTAAGTTGTTATGAGAAAGACGTTGTTCCCTTTTATGGCACCCATGCTACGGGTTAGTGGGAATTCTTACACCGCCACTACACGTCTTTTACAAACTTACTTCACATTAAATCTAATACTATGTCAAAAAAGATAAGAAACTGTATATAACACAAGAAACAGACATAAGTTTTTTTTTTTAAATTTCATGTCTGTTTTTGAAAATTTTTCAAACATATTGTTTTTACTACTTCAAGGACGATTCCAAGTTATATTATGCGTAGTTGCTTGATTATACTTCAAGCAAATATTATATATAAAGATGTTTATCCTCCTAGCTTTGCTAAATCTAATACCCATCATCAGGAAGATACTCTTTCATGATATTTTTAATCTATAATTACTTGTCAGAGCTCTGTACTTAATATACTCTGCATAAACTTGTATCTTAAGTGGTATCTATTATATCTCTAAATAATATTCAAAGCTTGGGATTTTAAATAAAAGCTTACCTAAGCTTCACGGGAAATGGAAGCGATTAGCATTCAATAAACCAGAAAAATTTGTTCAGAATTTTGTATATCTTGTTTAAACGGTTGTTATTTGTAATAGAGCCCTGTTCAGCGAAATCAACATACAGTTTACTTTGGAGCCAAGCCACCTACCGTTAAAGCTCTGATTCCCCGTATTAATTCGAGTACAAGTAACTAACCGAATGAAAACTGATTTACAATAATAGCTTACGATCGACTTTATAATATCCTACATTTAGCTGCTATAATAAATAACAGAAATAGTTCGTTTACTTTGTATTATTTTAATTCCAACGTTATCTAACTTATAGAAATTGTACACATACAACATACAAATAGTATTATAAGAACGAAGGAGTAGTTTCATAAAAATATGATTAAAAATAAAATTTGATATGTCTCTATTAGGATTGTTTTTTCTCCAAATGTCATTCATGCTCGGTCCGAAAGTGCTGCTTGACGATCTAGGATTCGATGACGACGAATCCATGTAAATATGCAAACTAAATTACTACAGACTAAATAATCAAGAATACCATCATTATCATTGCTTTTCAGCTCATTAATCCCCAGCGGATGTGATTGGTTATGGTGCATTCTTGGTGGAAAGGATGATAATAATAAAGGGTTATTTATTTTTATGTAAACTATTTCCAACTTAGAGTCTTTAATCATGCATTGTCTTAGTATTTATTTCTTATTTTATAGTAATATAACAAGAAATAAAATAATAGTCTAGTTAATGGTCTAAACTATTATCCTTTATATACTGTATCTAACTTCGAAAAAAGGTCACAGAATTGTCACCCCTAAGAACAAAGATGGAATGCCTTACAGCCTAGCAAGAATAGTTTATGTATTGCTAGGCGGAAACACACAAGACTCTGGTGCCAAATTAGATGGCCTCCCAGGTAGGACAGAAGTCCTACCAAAAAGTAAACGAATTATATATAAACTTAAATTAATGCTCAATACTATTTATTTTAACCTAAATCACTAGTAGGTACTAGGAATGTTTTCAAAAACTCAGCAATATTATGAACAACTTTAGGTCAAAAAGTATTAAAAATAAAAAAATCCGAATGTTTGTATATGCGTAAGGTAGAGTCGGCTGCATTGATTGTTAAATTTTCTATAGTAGCTTCGTTGTTTGCTAAAATGTTGAATTTAAAATTTTCTTAAGATCTATTTTTCCAAAATTTTAGTTACTTTCATTAGTTATTTACAAAATACTACGCAATACAGGTTAGTTTGATATTTCATATACAAAGCTTAGTTGTCAAAAGTGATTTTTGAAATCTCGTTATTTAATTTAAAAAAAAAATCCAAATTATACTGCACCCAATACAAATAGTGGGAACCAAAAATTACATTCACTGATTAACGGGTAGTGAAAAAAAAATAACTAAACCATTGACTGTCCTTGTCATATAGTGCACTGCTATTGTCTTGCTATTGAGTGTGAAAGTCAGACAGTGAAAGTGTTAATACGACTAATATTATCTTACCATAAAATTAAGGTGTATATATCAAAAAAAAACTCTCAAAATTTTTATCTCATTCCGACGCTAATTCTAGAAATTATCATAAGCTGCGATACATTAGAGCAAATGAACGGAACGATTATTAAAAGCTTTCGTTGTATGGCAGCGGAACCCGAAAACGATCTATTAGGTTAAAAGTAAAAGCAAACTGTGACGCATATACCTTGATATACTTATCATGTCGTCTTGTTACTCCATAAGATTCACATTTACAGAAACTAAATTGTGATTACCAAAACCTCGCCGAAGCAGTAACAATTAATAATGACGTATTTTGCAGCAAATGGGCTTAAGAGTAAAATAAGTGTAATATATGTTATACCTAGTATCTATATATTTATATTATATTTTAAATTACTTTCCAATAGCCCTAGGGAAGAGTAAATATTAAACAAATAACGTATTAAGTACATTACATTTTAAGACTACTTTCAAAATGTTTTTAATGTAACATTTTCTGTTAAAAACAACGTAGTAAAGTGGCTTATTTTAAAGTGTATAGGGCAACATTACTAACTCTACCGAAACTTTGATGTCTAAATTTAATTAAAAATTAGTAAAATTAGAGAACCAGCTAAATCGACTGCAATAAAAAAAGTATCGATAAAAAATTCGTACTTTTTATTGCCCATTTAAAACACTGTATCATTATGAAACTCGGTGTTGTATTTACATTTTTATCTCATCGATTTGAACTCACCACCAAGAATCAGTGATGGGGGCGAGCAGCAGCAAGCATGCGGCAATGACAACCGGACGCATCTCTCGACGGACATCACTGCCCCAGCATCCCACCCCTAACCATGGCCTGTCCTTTGAACCTTACTACGCACATACCAGTCCTAATTGAACATTTAAAATTATTTTGTAATTAGTTTTTTATTGTAATTAGCTTTCGTTTAAATTGTTATATGGCTCGAAAACAGTACCGAAATTTCGCGGCGTGTTGCGTGAGTGGATCCCTGTCGGCAGGAGCTCCCGAAGCAGACTGACTGACATTCACCTGTGCGCCCACCCCGACGCAGACGCAGCGCAAAACGATTTTCGCGCTATTTTGACTAATATATTACAACAATTTAGGCTTTATGTTATTAGAAATGTAGAACCTAGTACTTTACAATCAGCGATTAAGAGACTAGTGTGGGCGATTTGATTAATAAACGCTTTCGAGCGATCAACAAAGGGGCCCCCAATAATCAAGTTTCCGGGTATAATTAAATACGCGACTTGTTGATCTTTTAACAACGAATGTTTGTAATAGCAATTTAAAACTGATCGAACTTCTAAATTCTGTTAATAATCTGACCCGCGGCTATATTTGGCATTTATATTGATGCCGTGGGCTAAAATGGTTTTGATACAAAAATTTAGCATGCACAACTATATTAGTCGGTGTATGATGTATTTTGGTTTGGTTCTGCAAGCGATATTAGGCTTAAAAGCAGTTAAAGAAGATCGTTAATCGTAAATACAATTTAGATGGATTACTTTTTGTGGAATGAATGGTGTGCAGGGATATGCATAGTTTTCAGTGTTGCAGCTCTTTGGCTTTCAATACGGCAACACTTATACAAAACAGACTCACTGATTGGGAGCGAGTGATGGACAGTGAGGCGTACGGTACACATCTATTATTAGAACACACGTGCGAAACGCTAATTGTGTTAAACAAACAATTGCGTGTGCATGCACCTGACAGAACCGTACCTGCGTCGGAGCTTGACAACTAGTCTGAATATGTATTAATCAATTTATTCGGTTCGATCAATGTTGCCGATGCCTGTATGTATTATAAGCACTCTGAACTTGTTAGCAGTAGGTTTCGACATTTAAGGTATCTCTCGTTTTATATAGTATGTAACCTTCTAACGTATTAATTTTATGGGCCGTAGGTTTTTGCCCGGGGACATATTCCCTGTCACCATTGAATTTATAATCTTGAATAGAATTATAATGAACAAGCACACAATTCACCTGATCGTAAGTGGATGCTATGGCTCATAGACACCTTCAGCTATCGTCGTTAAAAATCAAAAGATTTATAAAGAACAAGCACACAATTCGCCTGATCGTAAGTGGATGCTATGGCTCATAGACACCTTCAGCTATCGTCGATTAAAAATCAAAAGATTTATAAAGAACAAGCACACAATTCGCCTGATCGTAAGTGGATGCTATGGCTCATAGACACCTTCATCTATCGTCAATTAAAAATCAAAAGATTTATAAAGATCAAGCACACAATTCACCTGATGGTAAAAGGATGCTATGGCCCATAGACACCTTCATCTATCGTACGAAAATCAAAATGTATATACCACACAGGAGAAACACGATTCTTGAAGTCATAGTAAAGCTCCATCTTTGAGTTGAATATCATTTGAGGTGATAGTATTCATTTTATCACCTAGTAACCCAACAGTTGCATAAAATATATTAAACAGAGTTTTTCAAATGTTTAATATCTCTAAGTATTAAATAACATTTCATGATATTTTGTAAGGAGTTTTTATTATCAATTAATCAAGCCTATCTTTAATCGCGATTGAATTGGACAATAGTAAAGTCGACAGGCGATGTAGAGTCGATAGATAGTCGATGGCTATGTTGGTGCGAACACCTACTTTACTGGTCATTGTATATGTTGATGTGTGTGTGATGTAAGCCAAATACCTCTGTAGAAATTGGATCGTTTTCTTAATAACCGAAATCATTTTATTTACGGTCTTCGTAGATACGATCACGTATCCTTATACCGTTCTAAGCTTAAATGAACACATCCATCAACGTAGATGTGTAGCAAATACGTTGTATATACGATCCATGCACTCCCGAATACCTGAAATGCCAGTTTTAATATTTAAGTTCTTCTCAGGAACGTCCCTCTGAGGGAACTGCTTTGTGTGTTTTTCCTCGCAGTACCAAATTTACATCAGTCTTTCGCCGCTGAGGCTAAAATACTGGGCTTTTTAATTAAATTTATGATAAAACAATAAAAAGATGTATTTTAATTTCATAATTTCATTTATTAATTTTTCGTAACGTTTGACTGAGCATAAAGGACGTTTTGCATTAATATATGCTTTAAAGAAGAAAAAATATCGGTAAAATATCTATATATCGTCGTTCCATGTTGATAGTTAGATATATCGATATCGACTTTATTCGATATACATATCATTTGCAGATGATACTGCAATAATATTAGTTGCCGAAACATGGTCTGTAATTGAGCACAAGGCTCAGCTTGACTTAGACCTAATATCTAATATCAAAACTAAATTTATTGCCTATTAAATTAGTTTAGTCTCTCAACCAAATTTACCAGTATCCCTTACTTGCTACAGACATACTCAGATCTCTTGTCAATGTCCAACCATATCCTCTGTCGACCATATTAAATTTTAGTAGTAATAAATACTTTTTATAGTCGTATATATATATATATATATATATATATATATATATATATATATATATATATATATATATATATATATATATATATATATATATATATAGTCTTAAATCTTTATTTATTAACGTACTTAAACTTGTATCCATAAAATTGTACAAAATGTACCTAGGAACTTTATGTATTAAGGCATTTAAAAAAAAAGTTACTCACACACTTGCATTTTCTACTGTATCGTGGAGTCAGCTTACATACATACATTTCAGAAGGACAAATATCCAGACCCTGAAACATTTATTTGTAATCCATACAATTACTAGTTCCGAGCGGTATTCGCAACTCATTTTTCGTTTTGTTTCGATTATAAAGCTCTTATTTTTAAAAAAATTGTCCCACTTGGTTTCTTGCTGGTTATTCCCAGGACAGAGTTTTTTTTGCGAACCAGTGGTGAAAAAAGTGACTTTTAATAAGCATTATTTATAATCCATATTGAATAAAAAAAGTTTCTGTTTCTGTTTCTGTTACACATATATATATATATATATATATATATATATATATATATATATATATATATATATATATATATATATATATATATAGTCTTAGATAAAAACCTAAATTTTAAAAGCTACATTAATCTTCTCACTGGCAGAGTTCGTTAAATTGATATTTATATTTAAAACTCTACGAAGTATTGCTAACCCTACTATTATAAACTGTATATATGTTATTACATACTGTATTTCCTGCTGGTGTGATGCTGCAAAAACAAACTTAAACAAGCTGCAGGTGGCACACAGAGCCATTTTGAAAGTTGCTACTTTCCGGCCAATCATTTTTCCAACTATTCAGTTGTACATTGACTGAAACGTCTTTAATGTTCGGCAACATTTTATTTAACATATAGTTCTTTTGCAGCACCGCGAAACCCCTTACAGTGAAATAAGTAAAATTCGAAAAGACAAAATTTGTTCCCTCCCACAAGTTCGCTCATCAATCAATAAATTATTCTTTTATTTCCTAGGTCTGTCTCCTTACAAAAAATGTCCTATATATGGGTTATCATTCTAAAACTGCAAGAAGACTGTCCGCTTATACCTTCAAAACAAATCTTTTGACGAAACAGAAAAATACCTAAACTGATCGTAAAATAACTTATGACTTACCTACTCGCCCACATACACTCACGTATACACACGTTTACGCACGTACACACACACACACACACACACACACACACACACACACACACACACACACACACACACACACACACACACACACACACACACACACACACACACACACACACACACACACACACACACACACACACACACACACACACACACATACACACGCACACACACGCATACATTTCTTAATTTAATATTTAATAATTTGAATAACTAGAAATTATTATAATTAAAGCACTTACCATAACCATGTGCTTATTATATACTTACTATGATAGGATTGGAGACCGTTACTTCTTAATACATGTTATTCTGTAACCTAGCTAGGAGAGCAGAATTACTTCCACTAGATTCAATATCATATTTTATAGATAGTACAAACGATGTAATGTCCCACCCATGTACTATAATGACTTATAGGAATAAAAGATTATTATTAGAATTATAATTATAATTATTATTTTATATATCGATACTGATTTATCGATATTTTTATGCAACTTGCATCTCTATTTCAGAGGTTAAATTTCTCAAATATTACACTGCTTACACATGGGTCGACATGTTTTCTTTTTATAATATATTATGTTTATGTGTATTATTTAATTGCGCGTATGCTATATTATAACAGGTTTAGAGTATTTTATGTAAATCATTTGTTGTAATAAAAGTTTATGAGTGTATTTATATGTATAAAATATGTGTATTAATATTTATATTTATGTATATTATATATTTTGATGTTTTATGGATCCTGTTTAAGTTTCTCTGTTTAGCTCGTGGTTGATTGGTAGAGAATGCCTAAAGGCAAAAAGCCCGCCAATTGCACACTTAATTTATGTAAATAAATATGAATATTTAAAAAAAAATTAAATAATATAAGTATTTAAAGAAATGTTTCTTAACGAATAACATTTACTGATTTTTCATAATTTCATGATGATTCCACGTATAAATATACAAACATAACACTTTTAGCACTTATTACCCACTACTGCACAGAAACAATATTGACCCTATAAATACAGGTCTTTACAGATTTTACATATGGACGTGATACTATGCCAGAGCAATAGCCTATATTACGAGTTGGTACATTCAAAAGAGCTTAATGTGTCGCAGATCAGCTCAGACGGTTCTTATGATATGCATAGTACTTGTCACTAGCGGGCTTCTATCTTTTAATAGACTATTACAACAGTCTTTAGTGGTAGTAAGTAGTCTGCTTCTAAGGAGCGCTTAAACGGTACATGTAATTTTACACTGTGGTTTCTAATAGCGCGCTGACTCTATATTTTATTAATATCTACTTTTCAACGCAACTATTTAGCTTCAGTATTGACCTGACGTGAAAGTCAATTGAAGCGATATGCCGTTAAGTTCTTTAATTAGTGTCAGAGCGGTTAAAACTAATTTTATGCGTTTTATCTAGTTGCTTTTAAACTTATTTTGAAATATAGATATTTCTACTGATTTGCTCCCTCAATGGTTGGGAGAGGGTTTGGGTTTAAGGAGTTCAACGTCCTGACATCGTATTAGGTTAACTTTACCTTAGGAGCTCGGACTTTTCCCGATAGAGCCAAGAATTTATTTTTGCATTCAAAAATATAGCTGCAGTGTGGCTCTATCACGTTTAAAATTAAGGAAAATCATTAACATTACCTAATAAAAATATTTCTCTCCATTAAGAATAAAAACTAATATCGAAAGGTAATATTTTAACGTATTTCAAACATGTCAGATAAGTCTAATAAAAATTTCAAACAAAAACCTAAACGAAGCTTAAAATACTGCTAAAGCAGTTGTTAAAGTGATAAATGTCTTTTATTGAACTGTTAACGTCAAAAGCGATGTTGCTTGTAAACACACTGTATTTATGGCGCCACAAATATGTAGTGAAATCGCTTGCACCGGACTACTTTTTTTAGCCATTCAGCAATTCTAACAAATTTATTGTATTTACACACTCGATTCATTATAATAGCAAAATATAAACGTCCAAACGTAACGTCTTAATTGACGTCGCATACTAAATCTTTATTTATTAACGTACTTAAACTTGTATCCATAAAATTGTACAAAATGTACCTAGGAACTTTATGTATTAAGGCATTTAAAAAAAAGTTACTCACACACTTGCATTTTCTACTGTATCGTGGAGTCAGCTTACATACATACATTTCAGAAGGACAAATATCCAGACCCTGAAACATTTATTTGTAATCCATACAATTACTAGTTCCGAGCGGTATTCGCAACTCATTTTTCGTTTTGTTTCGATTATAAAGCTCTTAAAAAAAATTTTTGTCCCACTTGGTTTCTTGCTGGTTATTCCCAGGACAGAGTTTTTTTTTGCGAACCAGTGGTGAAAAAAGTGACTTTTAATAAGCATTATTTATAATCCATATTGAATAAAAAAGTTTCTGTTTCTGTTTCTGTTACAGAGCAACTACACCACAGAAGTGTCAAATTATTCAATGACTTTTTTCATATCTGAGTGAAAACTTCCATCAATCGTTTGCCATGTGGTGACGAAAGAATATCTTCTACCACCTTACATTTCTTTGGTGTCGTTAGAGGCGACGTTGGAAACTGACAAAAAATCTTTTAGCTTTTGATAGATGGTGAATAATCATCTCGTTTACGCAAGACAATACTTAGACCTGTGATGGGCTGCAGAACCAAAGGTACTAGAAATCTGTTCCTGCAATCATCAATCCGTCTGAAAATCGCGATGAATAACGATTAAGCTAAATACTCCGTACTCCTAGCAGTAAACTTTTATAAGCTGATGAAGAACAAGAGGGACAAGCGATCTAACAACCATATCGTAGCCCATTGACATACAACCGCAAACAAAGAATACACAGATTCGTTGTCACCCTTAAAGACTTACGAGTAGATCTTCACAGATTGTACTCTTCATTTGATTCTTAGTCTAAAAAGGAGCTTTACAATCTACTTTTTTTTATAGAATAAGGGTGACAAACGAGCACACAGTCCCCCTGATGGTAAGTGGATGCTGTGGCACATAGACATCTACATTTATACTCGATTAAGAATCAAAACGCAGGTGCGTTGTTACCCCTGAGGACTAATACGGAATGCCTCGTGACCAGTAAAAACGGGTCTCCGGATCTCTACACTCACCATACGAAACACAGCAGTATTAAGCTGCTATTTGACCTTGGTATTCTGTGAGAGCGTGATCCTTCCCCGATCGAGCCGAGCCATTCGTGCTACAATCATAATATAGATCCATTTCTGCAGCGTTGTTCTACCACGTATTAAACTTTTAAACGCTAAAAACTTTTTAACAAAAGAGTAGGATGAAATTTATCCTCTGCCTAGACAAACTTTTAATCATAGCAAGCGGTAATGCCGATCATGTGTTTCCGAGTTAGGCCAAAATAGATAGATATAGGAAGGATTTTTGTCATGAAATTCTCAGTAGTAGCCCAAAGACAGCAAGCTGGCTGTGTCAAACTCCCGTGCCTTGGAATGCAATTGAACTCTACGCTATAATTCATCCGGTCGTGTCGGATTAGCATCCCACAAGACTATCAGAGTAAGGTAATACATACAGTGCACCTGTACTTGCGCTAGCATACGACTGCCTCGTTGGTCTAGTGATTGTAGTAGTGGTGTGCTGATCATGAGGTCCTGGGTTCTACTCCCGGGTCGGGCCAAAAAATCAATTATTAAATTTTTCAGTCAAGAAATTCTCAGTAGCTGCCCGGAGTCAGAAAGTTGGCGGTGTCTCACCCCCGTGCCTCGGAAAATAGGTAAAGCCGTTGATAATGCGCCTGATCTCTTTTTGGTCGTGTCGGTTTACCTTCCCACCGAATTATGAGAGTGAGGGAATAGAGACGCTATTAGAGAAAGAAAGAGAATATTCTTGCACCACCACTACGCGGTAACAACTTTAATAACGTATAAACTTTATTTCATATGGAGTGTGACACAAAGGCTAGATGAAAATGTCAACCTATAAAAGTCACAGACTTTAATACAAAATTACTGATTTTTTTTTGTTGTTTTGGAGGTAATGTATAGGGGATGCCTATGTTCGGCAGTGGACTTTACGTGGACTTTTACGTGGTAGAGCCATGCTGCAGTTATATTAGTAGTATAGCTGTAGCACGAATGGGTCGGCTCGACCGGGGAGGGAGACGCTCCACGCTCTCACAGAATACCAGCGTCAAATAGTAGCTTAATACTTCTGTTTTTCGTGTGGTGAGTGTAGAGAACCGGAGACCCTTTTTACTGGAAACGAGGCATTCCACCTAAGTCCTCACGGGTGACAACGTATCTGCATTTTGTTTCGTAATTGAGGACAGATGTAGATGTCTCTGGGCCACAGCAATCACTTACCATCAGGTGGACTGTGTGCTCGTTTGTCATCCTATTCTATAAAAAAAAGAGAGCGCACCTATGCTTGTGCATACACTTGGGCACCATAATCCTGTCCAGCAGTCTCCGTTGAGGCAGGCTGACGTGACCGAAATTCGGTCTGTAGGACATTATATTTATTAATATTATTACTCGCACGCACACTCGTCTCATATAGTCTTGTCCTGCGTAGATGGCTTGTCCCTGTTAAAGCTGCGCGCAGTGGCCATAATGGTCTGGAGTACTTTATATTTATCCTTGATTGAGAATGAAAATGGATATTAAATTTTTGTACGTGGTAGAGTAATGGTGCGGCTTCGCTGCTACATGAATGCTTCAGCTCTACTGTGGAAGAAAACCGATTGCACAGAATACCAGCGTAGAACAGCAGTATATTGCTGCTGCTGTATTTCTTATGGTGAGTGCAGAGAACCGAAGACTATTATTACTGGCATTGTATCTTTATCCACAGTGATGATTACGCATCTCACTTTTGATTTTCAATCGATGGAAGATGTGTGTAAACCACAGTATTCTCTTATTATCAGGTGGTCTGAGCTTTCATTCGACACCCTTAATTTTTATTAAAAAA